GGGGGGCGGGGAGAGGTGAGAAGAAGGAAGACGAATGACGAAAGTAGCGTCGTATACATCTGAGTGTGAAAAGGTGTGTCCATAGAGAGATGGTACACCAGACAGCAGACAAGTTTGCTGAATCAGTTCAAATGGTAGACAAGCTTGTGTAAGAAGACGGGATCTTTTATTGTGGAAGATTTTCGTTTCAATGGAGTGTTTGTTTTCTTTGAAAGGAAGTAGGAGGAAAGGGTGGGGGTGGGGTTGCTCTCAGTGTTAGATTACTTTTCTAATAAATCATTCAACTGTTTGTTTTCTCTGAAAGTACTCATGTACATTCAGTTCGTGTCCCTCTGCAATGTGCTGGTATAGCCAGTGAGCCATGAATGTTTGATTTTTTATTTTGTTTCTGTGGGTCGAGGTTGATCAAAATACAAATTGTACATCATGTACCAAACGAGAGGGGTCAAAATACCAAAGGTGAAAATATTTAGGGTTTTCTTTCGACGCGTTGTCTTTTATTACTTGCTTTTCTCATTCTAATATTTTAAATTTTTAAAGTTCTCAGAGTCTACGCCACAAGAGAAGTTCCTATGATACTCGGTGACGTCCTGTTGTTCATCTGTTATTTTTTTAATTATAAAAAAAAGAATAAAGTCCGCGTTGCCCAAGTCCTGATCTGATTCCCGAGTTACGAGCGCTCCGCAATCCGTCAGTGTATTGCTGTCTTCTCAGTGAGCTTTTGTCAGTTCAAGTCCTGGAGTAGTTGGAATCTGCCACTGGTTGACCCTAGTTTTTGGTCTCCTGTTCTATTGTTTTGTGCTGGGTTTTTTTGTTGTTTTGTTTTTTTGGTGGTGGTTGTTGTTTGTTGGGGGGGGGGGGGAGTTGTTTGTCTTTTTTTCTGTTCTCAACTTGTAGGGATGATGGTGTCCATCAAATCTCTGCCAAGACCAATCTGACCTTCCTTAGTATGTCATAAAGCTACGTCATAAATTAGTGGACTCTGCAAGTAAATTTCCAGGTGGAAATACAGAAATGATTATTGCTTGAGTCATGGCAAGGTGTGAAAAATAGCCCCCCACCCCCTCCCAACATCATTTAACTATAGCTTATATGATAAGTTGGAGGACGAGTCCATTGTCGCGGGAGGTTGATGACATGGACTCTGTCCCATATTGTACTGGGGTGAACTCCGCTTACCTTACTCCCACACACGTGTACAAGGCCACTCACTTGCTCGCACACACAAGGTACGCTGATAAGTGGTATATAGAGAGGTCGACAAAGTTGGGGGTTGCTTGGGTGAGGGGCGGAAGGGGGGGGAGGGTTGAGGAGGCAGAGGTCTAAGAAAGAACTGTGCCTGACTGTTGTGTGTGTACCGCATTTGCTATTACGTACCTATCTCCTCTCTGATCTCTTGCCAGAGTATGCGTATCGTAATGCCCGTTAACTTTGGTGTGAGGCGGTTCTCCATGGCGTGTCGTGGAGGCTGGGGGCGCCTGGCTCATTCCAGCCTCACCTGTCGTCTGCTGGCAGCTGCTGGGTTCAGAGCCCGGCACAGGAAGAGTTGCGTGACTTGCCGCGACACTGGAAAATTCCGGTGTATGGGCAGCAACTCATAGATAGAAATGGTATAGTGGAAATAGTTCCCATGTTATGAGTTACTCCCCTTATTTCGTTTGTGCGATAATGTCTCCGGTAGTCTGTCTGTGTCGTGACGGTACAGTGGTATATATTAATATATGAGCGTACCTACAGATGTAATTAATGCTATATCTGTGCATGACTGTAATTCAACAATATTTATGTTTAACTCAGAACCTCCTTCTTAACATTGCCTCTATAATCTGCATTTTTCATCTCCCTTTTTTGAGTGCACAATAATAGTCACCATTAGATCTTTGTGCTTCATATCAACTCAAAATGAGAGTTCCTGTACATTGTCTGGCCTGGGATGATGTTTGTGTGAATGTTCGGTTTTCAGATATTCATTGGATAGTGAGAGAAAGAGACTGATCAGTGGAAAGGTACAAAGACTGTCAGTTTATCATGTAATTCTAATAGTGTTCAAATATATGTCATTTTCTGAGAATAAGAAAATGTCCCTTTTCAGTTGACTTGTTGTTGTTTTTTGTCCACTCAATTTTCATGCTTTTTTTTTCATACAGAAACCTCAGCAATCCTCAGTTCATGGGTACACTTCTTGACATCTTCAACATGATTTTAGGTAAGATTTGTAATACTTTTTACACCCTTAGTGGGAGGCCACTAGTGACTATTCTCAAAGTTTACGACATGTAACTTGCAACATACATTTTGTTACTCCAATTGCAGGTACGAGTTATTACCATGGACATTGTGAACTATGGACTTTGAAAATGACACTCTGAATTTTAGTGGGTGGTTGGCGGGTGCTCTGGTGTGGTTTGCTCCTTCTTTCCTATCAAACATCTATCGTCCTTATCTCCCCTCCTTCTTTTTTATGTTTGTTACTCTCTTGTAACACCTCTAATCTTCTGGCGCTCATATGACCTTATGCAGTTGCGAGCGCCGTAAAACCTCTACTAAAACAAAACAAACATCTGAATTTTATTATTGTTGTAATCTCATGTGTGCATGTAAAGTGAAACCCTGTTATGACCTGCTTCTATTTGATATGAGATACTGACAATTAATTTGTTTTTACTCTCTTTTTGTTCAACTAAATATCTTTTTATGAAATATCTTTGCATATTAAGATTTTGGTTTTCTGCAGTTTCTTTAGGCTCTCCATTTTTGCAATTATCTGTTGTGGATCCTAATGATCCTTTCTTAAGATGTTGCACTGTTCATAACTGTGGTATAACGAGATAGCACTGATTGTCATCTTGACTAGTTGTAGACTAGAAGAGACCAGAGACAAACATGTGCAGGGGAAAAACGAGTAGCAACCAAACATGTACAGCTTCAGCTGTAAGAGCTAGGATATATGTGTCAAGAACCCTGTAGACGTATATTTTTTAAAAATCTAATACTTGTCATTGTTTATTTTGTCTAAGACCTGTCATATAAACTTAAAAATCAATCCTCACAATATAAAAGCCTCACGGGCGCCCGCCAGCCTTTTGGTCATCAGGCTGATATCTGGAGACTAGATATCTGCAGGCACTTCGAGTTGATGCAGTTGCTTTGAAGTTTCACCAGGCGACTTAGAAATTTAATTTCACTTTTTAAAAAGATACTTTCCAAAGCCTAATTTTATATAATAGTATTTTCATTATCAGCATAAATCAGGAGCAAATTGACGACAAGCACTAGAAATAGGCTGAGTTTACAGAGACTTGTGTTGGGCAGAGATTATCCAGCAGTCATCGAGTGGTTGCCATGTGTAGTGTCTCTGGCGGTCAATTGACTGGCGGTATAACAGAGCAAATTTACACTATTTTGATAAGGACTGTACAACTCTGACAGTTAGAGGATGGCAGAGTAATGAAAAAAATTACCTTTTAAAACCTGAAATAGAAATTACTGTTTTTGTGCAAGGTAGCCATGCTCTTAAAACTTTTATCTATGTATTGTAAAATTATGCATCTTACTTTTAACACATTGCCTTGGAAAAAGCAAATTCGATTCAGCTTATTTTCCATTTTTAATTGCTTTCTCCACAGACATTTATGGCATGTCAGAACTGGTGAACAGTGGCCCCATACAGTCTTTGATACTGCGAATCAAAGAACTGATTAATACAGAAGTCCATCTGATGAAAAGTGTCCAGGAGATCATGGGCTCCCTGAATCTCCTATTCAATGCAGCAGAGAACAATGCTGTTCCCACAAGAAGCTCATCAGTGGAAAAAGTTGAAGACATGGAGATAGACACAAACCTCACCAATGGCAGATCCACCGTGGGCTCAAAGTCCAAGGCCAAGAAGGAAGGCTCTGACACTGAGAGAAAAAGTACATTGATGTCTATAGGATCGTTAGCATCATCAAATAATGGTGTTAATGTTTAGTTGCAATCTCACCATTATTCTGTTTTGTTATGAAAGGCATTTATGAAATTTAAGTATGTTTGAATGTTTGTGTAACTGAAATTGAATTGAGAAATGCTGCTCTGGTTGTGTGTGTAAAAGGGTGTGGACTGCCTGAGAAAGAAGCTGAATGTTTGGGCTGTTGAATAAATTCTTTGTTGATTTGACAAATTTGTTCCAAGTATTTATCTCTGTCTGACTTTGTTATTCATGTGATTTGTGACTAACCTGTACTTCACCTGTGCTGTTCTGAACTTTGCATGGCAATTTTCCAATGACATGGGAAAATGCATCAACAGAGGGGTGTAATTGTGTTATAATTCATTGTCTGTGGTCAGTAGTTAGAAGAGAGCAAAAGTCCTTTTGCCAGAATGTAATGGGGCTGATGACTTTGAAAAGATCAGCTACCTTTTCTATTTGTTTAGGATCTTGACTTGTTTTATGCTCCTGAAACCAAAAAAAAATCACAAAAAGGATGTTTTCACAACCTTTCCTGTTGCTGAGAACATGAGTTTTAGGTTGAATGTGGGTTCCAAAGCAAAAGTGTGCATAAAAAACTATTTCAGATTTTTAAGGGTAGATAATGTTTCAAACTACGACTACCATAACCAATGCAGTAAAATCTAAGAGTTGTTTGACATTTCTGAAGAGCCTTTCAACTACTTCAAGATGGTAGCAGCATTTCTATGGCAATTAAAAGGTCAATTTTGTGAATCAGTCTTTCTAACCTGATTTTTTATCCATACCTGAATTATATTCTGAGTTCAGTAACATAACATTGAGAAATGAATAAACATGTAATTGAATCTTCTATTGCACAGCCTCTTCCTTACAAAATGCACATAGGCCTAAGAACAATGTTTAGAGCAGGGAAAAAGCAGCTGGGGAATAACATTAACAAATACATGTAGATAATAACTTGGAAATTCAGTGTACCAGCAGCACCCTCCCACTAACATTATCTTTAGCAAACCTAATGTTGACAGCAATGTTCTTACTATTTAATTTCCTGTCTGTCACTCAGACGCATTTCAGAGAAATGTGTCTTGTAAACTTTAGCCCAACTGCAGTGCTCTATAATTATTATGAAGAAATATTTCTTTAAGCGGCATATATTTCTCATACTGATCACCTCATCTCTTTGAGTTAGAGTCTTATAATTTCGTATTCCTCCAAAGGCATTGAAAGTATCTTTGGTTTCCCTCTATACAATTCGAAAGAAAAAAAAGAGTGTTTTTTTGTAATAAAAGAGGAGACAAATAAGAAGTGTGCTGTACAGAACAATCAATGAAAGTAGAAAAGAAATTTTTTTTAAAGGAAAAAATTTCAATTTTCAAACCCCATTGTGAGATTTGTTTTTCCATATTTGTTCATGAAGTTGTGCACCTTTCTAGACTGTGGAAGTATTTTTGGAGGCAATATGCTCCTCTTTTTTCGTCACAGAATTGTATTATATAGTCTAGCACACACAGCAAATACGCACACAGCGAGATTCACTTTAGTTGTGTGCTGGGAGTCTGCAGTTGCATGAGAGCAGGTATCCGATATTGTCATCATATGCATCAGTGCACTTCCTCTTCAACAGAGATTACACACTACGCAACTGCTTGTTGGTATTCTATAAAGTAATGTCAAGGTGAAGTTTTAGGAGAGAGAAGATAACGTCGGAGCTAAAGATGCGGAAAGGCTTCTTATTCGCGAAAAAAAAAAACGGCTGGTCCCAGCATGGGTGATGGAAAAATCAATGACAAATACCCTAATCTGCAAATCTAAACAACTATGAACCCAAAACAAATGTTGGCGTGGCTTTGTGGGCATAATTAAAGTAAAATTTTGATCCAGTAGTCCAACTTTGCTCGCTTGATATAACCTGGAATGTGCAGATTGCGAAATTCGTTCGTCATATCAAAAGGATTTTCATGTTCTGCCGATTTCGCGATGTGCGTGGTAGACTGCACGGGTATGTAATATCATAGACCGCGCACTCTGAAGTAGTTCCGATTTGAATCAGTTTGGATATGTGTGTATGTGGGGGAGGGGGGGGTACGCCCATAGACCCAATTTCGATAAGTTAGGATACGGTCTTCCAACCCTGACTGTCATGGCCAACCTGGACTGAGGAGAGGGATACAAGTTAATACAACATCCCAGCAGAGAGACCGAGATACTCGATACAAATTCTAGCCACTCGGGAATTATACTTGGATCTCCTGCTTCCGACAGCAAAGCGACTAACCGCTGCACCACGGACACATTTGGAGCCAAATGAAGAGCAAGGGGGGAAAGGTGCCAAGTGCACTCAACTATTATAGTGAGAGTAGCGTTTTGCCCTTCATTTTTGAGCCCTCGTGGTGCACACACTTTGCAGTGCAGTTTTATAAACACCAAAGAACGGTGGGCATGACGGAGAACGATCTATGGCATTAGTAGCACTAAAAGCAGTATGATTTAAGTATATTTTTTTAACTGAGTAAATTTGTCTTGCCTTTTTCAAGTCAAGTACACATCCCTTGAACACCCATTTTAAGCTGTCGCGCTGACAGTTTGTGATCGTGCCTTCCCTGACAAGCTACATTTTTGGTGTTTGTTTTGGTAAGTGTTGTATTTTACGGAGCTCGCAACTGCATAAAGTCATATGAGTACATTATACATGTATGAGCTCACGAGACACTTTGATTTTGAAGCATTTTCAGTCTGGTAGGAATTAATTTTGAATTTTGCCAGGGTGACCGCCGAAGCCTACTCTTGTCGATTTGAGGACCACTTAGGGATAGTTTGATGTGCGCAACTTGCTCACTGGACCTCCGAGAGTTTTTTCTCCCATATATCCAAGAAGGCTAGGTGTTAGATCTTACCTACCATAAGATCACGGGTGTGGCTGCCAACCAGCAGTAAAAAGGAGCCAGGAGTAGCTGCAGAAAGAGTTAGAAGCCCAAAGTAGGGGGGAAAAGGGGAAGGCAGAAAAGAAAGTGGAGATAAAGCAGATGACAGAAAATTTCTTAGAGAGCAGAAAAGGAGGTGAAAGGGAATTTTAGAGAAGAAAGTGCATGTATTCCGTCGCTTTCAGGTTTCAAACCAGAGGCATATTGAATGATGATGAATGAGAGCCGAACATCGTACCTCTTCACCACGAGAGCCTAATGACTATTAGACAAAAGAACAAATAAATAAGCTTCCTACAGTATGCACACACACACACACACACACACACACACACACCAAACAGAGAGAGAGAGAGAGCACACGCGACACTGCAATGCTCTCATAGAGCACGGTCATGCAGTGCCGCCCAAAAATTTTTAATGTTCAATTTCGAAAAGCATCCACAAACATAAAATAAAAGAAGTCAGAAACAAACGCTGGCCAAATATTAATTTAAAACAAGGTCGTCGCTCTGGCGCCTTAACTGTCATTTCTGTGTCAAAAGCGCCGTAAAAAAACATCTACTATAACTTGCCAAAGTCCAGGCGCTTTAACTCAACGTAATAGGATATTCAACAGTGGTAACCTGACCTACAAATCGCTATTTGGGATAACCCAAACGATGACGACACTCGTAGAGAGTTTGGCGGTACATTGATTAATAAGATGGCACATCTCAAACGTGCACCCACGAGACATAGCCCACAGCCAAGACAGATTAAGGCTCCGTCTTGGCCCACAGTAGGTAGTCTAAAAATGAACGTGATAGACCGTACACTATTATGTGCCAAAATTATGTGATCCCCGGAGCAATTCAGCGGAGTGCTCAAGTCAATTGTGATTAGTTCATTGTCTTGCCACTATTATAAGCGACACTGTGACCGTGAACCTGAGGGAGGTGAACGTGACATACTTAAGTCACGTCCTGCGTCCTGTGAGTTGTGCCTTTGAATGGTTTCGTAGTGGAGTAGTGAAATTTATTACTTGAGTGTTCAGTTCAAATGCAGGATGAAGAAACTGGTGTTTAGCCTACAAACAGATTTAGGTCTAGAAATCAAAGTGACAATCCATTTACTATGCCCTTGACTATCTTCAACCTGTTGTAGCTTGATAATTAATACAATTATTGTGCACGCCCACTTTTTAGCCCCAAGCGCCGCCCCTGCTGCAATGATATTAATACAACTTTATACATCATGTACACATTCGCAGCTAGATTGGATATTCCTGCATGGACGGGGAATGATACATTCCTAATTATAAGAAAAACACGTTGAACACATCGATAACATAAGACATTGTATGGAGAATCTAAAGATATGGAAATTTCAGTAGCACCTTCCCTTAAGGTACGGTTGGTAAGATTGAGCATAAAGACGTAAAAAACCTCGGAGGTCCGGTATGCACGTTGCACTCGTTAAAGATCCCGTGACGGCAGAAAATCGCAGAAAAGTAGTAGGCCGTATAGGCCGCCACTCGGGCAAAATTAATAAAATTCACAATTTCTCCACCATGAAAACAGGTCTCTACAACATCTGTAAAATAATAATAAGACACACCCTTACACATTCCTTGATTCCAAACTTTGAGGCATGTGAAGGAAGTCAAGATCTGAAGGGAGGGTAATAGTCCATTGGTACTCTACTTCCTCGACGTCAACCGACAAGGCAAATATGTATCATACAGAAGTCCTGCTTCACAATCGTCCGTCTTGATGCAAAAGGCCATAGTACAGTGCAGTAGTAGTAGGCTAATAATAGCCTAGGGCTATGTATATATTGCACACCAAGAGGCCTTACGGAAGAACTAAAACAAGTTTATTCCCGAAAGAGAAGAAGACAGAGAAACTAGAAACACCCTTAGCAGCTTATAAGTCTCTATAAACCTATTAGGCCTAGATCTCGGCCTGCGCGTGTATGCCTATTAGATTTATATCATGAACGCGGATCCTCTGTTACAGAACAACATGTTCAATTGTAGGTAGATATATGCTATGTAGGAGGTTAAACAGTAGCTAGTAGGGCAGGTATGTAGGCCTAAGCACTGCATTCCGTCTCTGGAGAACAAATCAACTATGCTGCGCTGGTCTATATTTCAATTTGAGTCACTTCTGACCAGTGCACTGCATTTTTTTTATTTTGACAATTATTTATTTTGTAAGCTTATGTTAAAGTGAGAAACGGAGCGTTACAATTCTTTTTGCCCCAACGGCTAGGCCATCTCAGTCCTGAGAAAGCCTAGCCCAACGGGCAAATGTGGAAAAAACACGCACATAATCGACGGTCAAATTTGTCATCAGAGAAGATCGTTTGATTGTAGGTAGTGTAAAAAGACTTCACATGAGCACCACGCTATCATCATACAGAGTGCACGAAACAGGAAGAAATTCAGGCAAGACTAGATAGTTGATGGAGCCTACGCATCATACCAGCAGCCTTAATAAAAAGAACAAATTATTTTGAATATTAATTGTGTATTACCTGTATCATAACAGCAGGCCTATTCTGAATTTGGGGTTCTGTAATATAATAATAGTAGTCCATATAATATTATCGTGACCCTTAGGCTAGACTTAGTCTATCTTTATTCTCTTTCCTGTATTATATAAAAGGCATACGTTACCGTTTTCTTTGCGTTTATTAACTGTATCATGTATCGCTTTTTAATGTTCTAAAAGAGTCCATTTTGAATAACAGAAACTTGGCGAAGACAAAAAGAAATCACGTTCAAAACTCCATTGCAGAAGGCCTATAAATTTTGGTGATTGTCAACGGTAACAGTGTTGAGAAAAAACATTGAAACAATAATTTTTTGTTTCTTTTCTTGTTGCAAAAAAGTAGGCCTTTAACGACTGGCCGAACGAAAAACAATATAAGAATTCTAATTTTCAGATACCTAATATTACAATCTTTATAAAAGATAAGTTACTGAAAGTCGTAAGTTAGATGCGGGTTTTTGATAATAGCAGGGATTTTTCCAGAAATATGGCATTAACATTGAAACGCAGAAAAAAATTAAAGAAAGAAAGGGGCTATCAAAAGTAAGGTGGACATAGCTGAAGCATTTAAATTTAGTATTATATATAAGACGTGAAACATGCAAATTATAACAATCTAAGAGTCAATGGGTAGGCCTAGAGATCACACTGGTGGATGTTTCATAGATATATCTGGCACGTCTTACAGCAAAGACTACTACGCACGCAGGTAAAACGTAGGTAAACACGCACATAGCCATTTTTTGCTGCATATAATTGCGATTCTAAACTTTGAAGATATCCCCCCCTGCCCCCCCCCCCCCCCCCCCCCCGTCCGCCCAATTTTTTTTTTTGCCCTGCCCAACCCCCTTCACAAAAATACTCAAGTTAGACGATATATCCACCGAGGGTGTCATTGGATGTAGAACACCGTTTTTTTCAAAGAGGTGCTTTATGCGCCATCTATTTTCAAGTCACATGACCTTGGTTATACCGTCTGATTGGCGCTTTTTCCGACCAACCTTCTGTATTGTCGGAATCATAACAAGCTTGTCGTCTTCAGCCATCATGGCGAACCCTCGGAAGTTTAGCGAGAAAATAGCCTTGCACACTCAAAAGCAGGCTGAGGAGACAGCTGCTTTTGAGGCTATTTTACAAGAAGTTAATTCTGCTACCAGGGTAATTTTCTGATGCTCATAATGGACTTGATCTAGGGATTCATCTGAGAACGAGACTTGTGTCTGTGTTTGCACAAAGTAGAGTGCGATGTGTGTGTTGTTTTGTACGCCCAATTGTTACACACTGCACACTTCGGTACCCCAACACGCAACACGGTCTTACCGCACGTCTGTCCTGAATTAAACTGAACATTACTGGCCCAACAACACACTATTATCAAAACGACAATGTAGTTAGGCTTTTGGTTATTGGCTTATTGAGTTTCGGAATATATTATCCGTTCAAGAAATTATGACCATGTCTGGGCTGGGTTCTAATTTTTGGCAAGCTATTGACTGCTGTTCAAAATGTTGACCAGGTCTAGTGTCAGATTTTGTTATTGTTTGTCTAATGGCAAAGGTGGAACTGGATGTAGATCTAGTGTTTGATTTTCTGGGCACTGTTTTGATAGATTTCCTTGAAAGATTGGGCCTACTGGTGCGCAATGGGTTCATAATCCTAAGGCAATTTTAAAACTTGATTCTGTAATCTGATGGTTCTTTGCCGCAAAATTGCAGCACTGATCGCTCACACAGCTCACGGCCACGCATAAATTTGTTTTCGGACATGATATCGACTGTCCTGGAATCTAGTCCTAGTTGTAGCTCTAGCCCTAGCCAATTTCAGATCTATCTAGAATTGTAATGGTTTGGGCCATCTCTATTCTCACCCCAGGTGAGAATAGCACAGGCGAGTCTTTTGGCTATTCTCACCCTGTGTGCGTTCACCGCCTAGATCTAGGCCAACCAGTGTTGCGTTCATCCTGAACCACAGAATTCTACACTGTGATTACAGAATTGTAGAATTCTGAGCGGGGAACAAACGTTCCATTACTACTGTTAGCCTAAAAGAAAAGTGTGCAATTTTGTCTGTGGGCAGTGGAAAGAGAGAGAGAGAGGAGTAGCGCAAGAACTTCCGGGCAACACAAAATGGCGACCCACGTAGTTCGGCTCGATTCGAAAAGTTAAATAGCCGTAGCATCTTGTAGACGACCAAATTAATTTACTTTTGTGTTTTAACATCATTTTTTAACTTTGTTTTGGTCAATTTGATCGTCCACACCGATAGACAGTATTCAGAAAGAGACAGAGAGAGAAGAGGGGAGGAGTAGATCTTGCGAGAACTTCCGGGCAAAAGAAAATGGCGACCCGCGTATTTCGGCTCGATTCGAAAAGTGAAATAGCCATAGCACCTTTGTAGACGATCAAATTAGCTTTCTTTTGTGCTTTAAAGGTAATTTTCTTCTTTGCTTCTTTCGGTATTTTTTTACTTTCCCTCCCGTCTCACACTCAGCTACCAGTTGTCTATTTTCTACTAAATATTGATGCGCTGAACACGAATATCAACTTCATTTCCGTCGCAAATTAATAGTTTTTGAAATATTTGATTGTTTTTAACCGAGATAGACATGCTTTGGACCAATCGGGGGGTTCCAGGGGGGCCTGCCCCACTGGGGTAAAAGAAAATCTGGGGGGTTACAGGGGGGCATGCCCCCGTTTTTACACCCATAATTTGATATTTTACAGTTAAATTTGAAATTGTATTGAAAATAATTGATTTGCGACAGTTTTAGTGGCTTTATGTGTGATCTGCAGCAAACAGTACAGCAGTTTGACCCCTGAAACAGTGCATCTGTGTGCGGGAGTGAAAGTAAAAATTTACCCTTCTTTCTATTAATTTGATCATCCACATCGATAGACAGTATTCCGAAATAAGGGAAAACAGGTCTTGTTTCACATCGGGTGAGAATAACCAACGGTGGCAAGTCTCACCCAGGGTGAGAGGTCGATCATATTTTTATTCCCACCCCGGGTGAGGATAGCCACTTCCAATGGTTTGCTAGATTAAGTAGGCCCTATTTTAGACTATTAGGCCTTTTGAATTCGCAAATGTGGGGTCATGCTCTAAGTCTTCTAAGAGTAGATTTGCCTCGTCTGATCCTGCTGTTCAATTACCGCGCCTGCCATAATTCTGTCAGGTAGTAAACAGTATCCAGACTGCTAGTACACTACTTGGTCACGGACCCGTGGGAACAATGCTAGCTATGAGATGATACGCTTCTAAAGTCTAAAGGCATAGTATAGTAGGTTTAGTGAAAGATCATGACTTTGTTGGTCTTTATTGCTTTTCCAATGTATAAGAGTTAAGATGACCATTCCCCTCTTTTGTTTTTGAAACAATTTGTTCTATAATACAGTCAAACCTGTGTAAGATGGCCACCCATTGTCAAGGAGAAAAGTGGCCGTATAAGACAGGTGGCCTTCTTAGGCAGGACTGATCAAGATGAAGAAAACAAACCATTCCCATCTGAGTCCCCAATCGAAAGTAGCCCCATTGTTGTTGTCTTTGTTGTTGTTGTTGCTTTGTATTTCGTTTGTAGTTTTCATTTTGTTGCTGCTTTTGCACAAACAAGGGTGACAATAAAACGAAATGTATCAGACTTAAGGAAGACTGAGTGCTGGGGTAAAACAAACACATGGGTCGCCACCACTCGGAGAACGAGGGGCGCTTCAGTAACAAGTTCATGTTGACGTCCTTTGTTACTTTGTTACAGACTGGGTAAACAGTGACCACTCATCTCACTTACGATTTGTGTATGAGTTCTGGGCGGGGCTTATGGGTTATGAGGGATCACACACTTCCCTCACCAGCAGCTGAAAATTGGTAGCTATTGGTCAACAGTGGGAGGGGCGTACGCAACATGATCGGTTGGAGGGGCTACCTAACAATAACGACAGGTGATTGAATTATTTATGACGGCTCGCCCACAACGCCAGGGGCCAAAGCACAATTTATGACAAAACGTAATGGAGTCATTAAGGTGGCCGTCTAAGACAGGTGTTATTGTTTAGTGTGATAAGGGTTGTGTGTTAAATTATTGTGGCCGCGGCCGCGTTGGACAGGTGCCCCGTTTTACACAGTTAAATTATATAGAAAAAACGCAAGGGGGGAAATGGAAAGCGGCCGTTTGTACAGGTGACCGTCTTATAGAGGTGGCCGTCAGGGCAGGTTGGACTATATAAACTAGTCATGGCTATTCACATTTTCAGCCTCAATGGTACTGCAACTGTTGATACAAGCAGTGTGTATTTGATACTACTGTGCGTTGGCGAGCCTGGTGGGCTTATTATAATCATGACCATGTAACCTGATACTCTTGATAATGATGGGTATGTTATTTTTCATCATGCTCGTAATGTGTTGGAGAATTTGACTGATCTTATCTGTTCGACAAATCCGTTTAGGTGTTTGGGAAAGCAGTACTTCCAATAACAAAAATTATATTGGTTAAGTCAGGGAATGGCATATTTTGAGCTGTCCATAAATTTGAGTTTTGCAAGTTCGAGTTATCTGTGCTCGATTACTGCACCTGCAGACATCATATATTTCTCATTCATGATTCCGTATAATGTCAGTCAGTATTACAAATCACATATTTTTATTTTTGGCTTTCTTACCTTACTAAAGCATCTGTTGAATTTTTAAAAATACTTTTTTGCTTCTTTATTTAAAGAGTACCCTCTCCTTTACCACGTAGCTTTAGTGATCTGTGAAAGTTTCTCTAAAATATCAAGCTTCTGTCCATAGGTGGTGTGATTATATCATGACGTTTTTTTGATAAAAGCCTTTTGCAACGGTTGGACTTGATGCAGTTCCAACTGAGCTAATGTGATGTCCGACCAAGCTAGTGTGATGTGTGTGGGCTATTATTCGTTTTATTTATGAAAGTGCATCTTTGTTTTGAAAAATGTAGAAATAGTGAATAAATGTTGAAGAATGGCTCAAGTCTACTTTCACTAGATCATCTAAATCATCTGAATGTTAGTGCTTGAAGTCACTGGACATGTATGGCAGCAGTGAAAGTAACATTTCTTTAGCCCACTGAGTAGGCTCGAGAAATGCCGAACTTTGAACTATTCTGTTGAAAAGGTTGGAAATGTGCCTTTGGGCTAATTTCGAGTTAAATTTTGTCCATAATACCTTTCTGAATTGACAGATCAAGTAGGACAGATATTACTGAAAATATATTTTCACTTCAATTATAAAACACTACATAAAATGATAAAAATAGTACAAATCATAGATGTCTTCTTTGAATAGTTATCTGACAATGAATGTTCTAAAACACCCTTAAAATACCTGCAGCCGGAGTTAAATGATAGGGGCATAAAAGGTGTTTAGACAATACACAAAAATTCAACCAAAATCACCAAACTTGAGGGAAAATGTCTGTTTCTTCGATTTCATTATGTTGATGAGCGCCTGATTTCACCATGATGCCTCACATGTAGGGTTGATGTAACTTTTAAATGGAGGTGAACTGGACAACCAAGTCTTTAGGTGGTGTTGGTGGCCAAGTGATTAGGCTACCGGACTCGTAATCGTGACATTGAGGGTTCAGGGGTTTGAGCTTCATCTCGGTTCAACATTGTGTCCTTGGGAAAGCCTTTTTACACGAATTTCCCACTTGGCTCAGTTCTGTCGGAGATGGACGATAACCTCTTAAATAACCTAATAGTGTTGACAGGGGCATTAAACCTCTATACCATTTCACCATTTTCACCATGTCTTTGTAAATCATAATCTGATAAGGTGCCTTTACAAAGTAATGATTACAGCTGCACTGTGTATCACATGATTGTGAGCCATCTTTTTAGTATTCACAGGGTGATTGGCGGGTGCTCTGGTGTGGTTTGCTCCTTCTTTCCCGTCAAACATCTATTGTCCTGATCTCTCCTCCTTTTTTGTTTATGTTCTCTCTTGTAACACCTCTAATCTTCGGCACTTATATAACCTTATTGTGTTGCAAGTGCCGTAAAACTCTTACAGTAGTCTCCGCCTAAACGCACGGTGCTCGGGAGGGCTCCTAAGCGTGCGTTTATACGGAGCCTGCGTTTACATGAACCTTTGCAAGGGGAGGAAGGGACGCAGTCATCTCAATTCCTTATTACTCTAGTGACCTCCCTTGGAGGGAGGGGGTCATCTTGGCAGATGTGACAACACGTGACTGTTTTGTGAAGGATTCCCGGACAGGGGTTAAGAATACAAAGGCGTTGAATGGGGGGGGGGGGGGGGGAGAGAAAGACAAACTCAATGTAATGAGTATGCACTGTAAACGTCGGGAACAGATAGCCTAAGAGGAAACTGTTGGTCATAGTCATAGAGACGACGGACCAGCTACGTGGCTTTCCAAGCGACCACCCCCGTCCGTAAATTCATGCAGAATCATCCCTGAGAAATATTTTCTCTCGTTGAACAAGTATGTTATAAGTAGGTACCAGAAACTAAATTTTCAAAGTAGTTGTATGCCACATTTATCAGTTCCATTTGAAAGGCCTATATTCACTGAGCATTTTGGTACCATTCTTTAACCTCTCAGTCAATTTTTAAGAAAATGGTAGTTGTTTAAAATTTGGTCAAATTTGTTAAAGTCAGTCACTGGCTGCAACCCCATGTTTGACAGACAAATTTAAAAGAGTACCAAGAGCACTAAACATCTCCACATTAACAGAGTACAATCATTATAACAAATATATGGAGCCTAATTTTTTTCAAGACAGTGAGATCATTACAAATCAGTACTTTATCGCCTCAAACACGATGATCTGTCGTTATTTCGACAATAACACCGAGCGTTGACCCCGCTGGCGCCGCACCGGGCCCCGCGGCGAGCGAGTCGGCTCTATACTGTAGTGTACCCCGCGTGCGGGATCACATGCTTTCTGAGTCTTGCGGAAGGATTGATGAAAAATAATTCCAAGCTGATTACTTTATTCTAATAGAAAATAAGCTGATCTTTTATTACATATATTTTTTAAGCCGGTATTTTACATATTATGGGTAAAAACTGATCTTTAAACATTTTGACAGTATTTTTAAAAGCTTTCTATTTAGACGCCAAAGGCAAAACATATACCACGGGAAAGCCCGTTTAAAGCTCTACAGTTCTCCGCCAATGAAAAGACGGCATTTAATCATTCCTCGTTCCGCGAAGCATTTGAATGCACCCGTGTCAATTTTTCAACCGGCCGACCACGCATTCCGACCGCGAGGGGCTTCGCTTTCGTCGGCGATTCTCCAGCTCCTACTAATCGGACATAAAAACAACTTACACCATTGTAACGAAGAAAAGCTGAACTTTTACAAGGTGTACGGCACTTGGTGTTTTATAGCGAAAGAGCAAAGAAACAACGATCGGAATTACCCCGATTTCACCGATACCACGCGGTCGGAAGGCCGCGAGTGCTCGCGAGGCCGTGTTTACGCTACCTATTATAAGTTCTTTGAGTACAGCTGATTAGGCTAAGTTGGCTAATCTTTAAAATCCTACAGAGGGCTGTCTAGTGTTTTACGGCATTCGCGCGTGTCGCGCATCAGGCCTAGATTTAGATTTAACTAAACACTAAACATTACACGCAGTCACTCAAACACCAGTCAGAAACTTTCTCTCAAAGATACATATCCAGTGACCAATCAAAAAACATTTCAGTCCCCCCCCCAACATTTAACCGACCAGCCCTAGACCGAGACCTATGCGTCAGTGGAAAGTAAGGTGTGTAAACGCTGTTCATCTCTCACCAAATATCCGGTTTTCTAGTAAATTCTAGGCTTGTCTTGTGCAGGTTGTAGTGAAAATTTCCTCTTGCCAAGCTTAACTTATCGGCGTGTTTCGCGGATCGGAGCGTGCGTTTGGAGGGAGTGACCGTGCGTTTGTACGTCTAAATTAAATAGTAAAAAACCCGTCAGATGATGAAGGCGTGCGTTTGGGCGGAGCGTGCATTTGTATGACGTGCGTTTAGGCGCAGACTACTGTACTAAAGCTAAGAAACAATTAACTCTTTTCCTACGAGGCCAAAATCCACCACTGGCCCAGGGCTTTTCCCTGACCTATTTTTACGCCCCTACCCTACCACAGGAAAATGTCAAAACATCCAACTAACCATACACAAACCATATATGGCCCATCAAACTGAAGTGAAAAAAATAATCTGTCAGAGGATAGTACAATATATTTCAGTTATATTAGATTGTGGTTTCTAAAACTGATTATGCAATATCGAAGGTGTCGTATGAAATCAACAATTTTCCAGCTTTGAAAGGTCATGTCTAAAAAAAGTACAACAGTAGCATCGTTCAAACTTCCCAGGTAGGTAGCCTCAAGTCATGCAAAGAAATGCTGAAAGTTATGTTATGTGTAGATATTATAGAAGTGAAAGTATGAGACATAGAATGAAGTCAGGGGAGCACTTTTCTGTTCATTTTTACGTTTCGAAGGGGACAGAAAAAAGCTATGAAATGACAAAAAATCGTCTGTCAGTGCTATTTTTTTTTCATATCCGCTAACAGAAAGTCTATTCTATTATTTCGAAAACATGGATCGGCCGAGAATTTCGTCTTTTCATTACAGGATTGAAATAGATAGCGAGCCTCTTGAGCCGTATTTTGCGACTCTAAGTCCAGCGAGGCCACTTCCGCGAGCCGCAAAATGCGGCTTGTGGTAGGGAAAGTGTAAAATAGTTCAGTTTGGTGTCTATGTTGTCATTTCTTTTAGTCTCATGCAGTGGTAGTAATATTAGTTAAAGGAGGGTGTGCAGTTGATATGACTTTTAACTGCATTTGGTTATGGGTGGCTTACAACTGTTCTACAATTTTGGGGTTGTCTCTGAATCTAGAGACCGTTGAGAGAGATTTCAAGGCTCAGGACTCTGGCTTGACACTGATTGGGGTGTTGGATCTCCTGAACTGATGAGTTGTGTAGCTCAGGTTGTATTTTTGTTTTAGCCTCGTGCAAAGCAATAGTGGTCACCTGCATGCATTCGTAAATCTACACTTTCAGAATGGGAATGAGAAAGGGATCAGCTTTTTTTGTCTTTATTTTGTTTCTAGTACAATTCTGTATGTATATATGAATTTATAGAATTAATATAATAATACTGTGTGTGGGCCTTTGAAACGGTACTACCTTTCCTTTTTATGTTTTAAAAAGAAATATCTGTCACTGTGCTTAAGAGTATATTTGTAATGGAATGTCTTGCACTTTAGTCTGTAGCAATCAATATGCAACAGTGAGCTGAGACTGGTAATGATAAAATGCTCAAGGTACATGATTAAAATGTCACACCTGTTGATGCATTAAAAGTAGCACTTGGGTCACCCGTTTTTGATTTATTTCAATAGATGATTTTATTCTTTGAAGAAATACCAATAATATTTAAAAAGTCATCTCTTGTTTTCGTTTAATTGATGTGCTCTTGCTGTCATATGCGAAAAGGTCACTCCCATGATTCTTGTAAGCCTCAGATATTTGTGTAAGCAGAGCACATCACATTTGTTCATGTTGACTCGTGGAACATCGTGTATATTCAAGTCTAGGGATAGTTTCCGTGACAAAGCAAAGATTAACAAGGTCACTGTGGCTGGTCTTTTTGTGAATGCTGTTCCTTATGTTTAAAATTTTTTGATGGGTTATACTTAATACTTAGTTAAGAAGATGGCCAAGTAGTTAGATATAATAGTTACATTGACTACATTATCTTGTATTTTCTGACAGGAGCCTCCAAGATACCAGAAACAGCAGCAACAGCAGCAGCAGCAACAACAACAACAACATATTGCTCCAAATTTGGGTACCTACAGAGGAGGGTCACTTCCCAATGTCAATCAAATAGCTGCAAATCAGGGTATTGATTTACAAGTAAGGAGTGTTCTTTTTTATTTTGTTTCTGTTTGGGTAGCATTTTATTTATGCTAAATCTTTATGGGTAAATATCTATTGAAATCTCATGAAGAAAAAGTCTGTCTTTCAAAAGATTTTATCCATATTTTTTTGCTCGAGTTAAAATTTTTGAGACTTCATGAAACAAAAGATGTTGAAGAAAATTGTTTCTTGTTGCTTGATGAATTAGATTTTGAACAACATTGCTCTCTCTTTTATGCTTTACTTTTTTTTTCTATGCTGACCACTGTGTCCTGTAGTCAAGTGAGAAGAATGGGTGCTGTTGTTTTGAAACATGCTTTTACTTTCTATTTTACTATCTGACTGATCATTTTTCAAAATCATTTCCCTTTCCTCCCCAGGCTACATTACAGCATTTAGATGATATGAAACAAGGCAGAACAAATTTGGTTGATCGTGGTCATGGAAGACAAGAAAGACATAGGCAGCAGATTGGACCACACAGACGAAACTTTCCACCTGATAAAAGGGTACTGTAGGATGTGTTCTGTGTTTTAGATTGAGAAACTGGCTGAGCCAGTGACTTTCTTTCTTTCTGTGGATCAGCGAAATGAGATATTATGTTAGCTTATGGTGTATTATGGTACTGCAGGATGATATAGATTGCTTATCTGCAGATTATAGATCTGTTCTTTGTTACAGGTCTTTGCTTCTGACAAGGCGTATTTAATTCGTTGGTGGTCCACATCCTTGGGCCTAGAGTTCTATCTCTCTTACAAGTTGCTGGCTTATAATTTTTGTTTCATCAAGTTTTATTGAATAAGAACACATTAGCATTTTCAGCATTAATAAAGGTAGTTTTCAAACTTCAAGCATTTATGATATATCCATCAAAATGTTGAGAAAAGATTGAAAATTTGACGTAATTTAATGAAGAACAGTTGTAGTATAGATCAGCATATATTACAATAAATGAGTTAAATGTGAGAAAAAAAAGTTAGGAAAAAACCTCAAGAATTTTGTTTACTCTTTTGGTCTCTTCTTGAAATAATTGCCCAGGAAAGTCTTCAGAATCAATCTTGCAGTGTTGTATAGTCATTTGTAAACGAGTACAGCAATTTTCTTAATTTCTTTGGTAAAAAACAAATGTTTGACAAACATTTTTGTTTCACGACTGTGAGGACTTACAGTTAAAGGAGTGGGTAGATGTATGGCTGCTGCTCTTGTTTTGTTAATAATTTCTTTTTTTTTTCTTCCGTCTTTACTGTTATCGTTGTGCTGACCTGTCATGTGCTGATCTTTCCCCTGGTTATAGTTTATTATGACACCTTTGAGCTCTTGGGGTTTATGTCACCATAGTTTTTCGCTGGTATCATTTAAGGATTTCTTACTTCTGATTTTTCCTGTCAACGTAAAAAAATGAAATAAAGATAATGGTAGGTTTTGTTTTCTCTGGTATTCAGGAAAATGGGTTGTGTCTAGTGTGGGTTGGTTTGTATAGCTGTTTTACTTTAGCCTATTCCTTGTTTCCTTTCAGAGTTCCTTTTGTCCTAATCTGCTCCCTGTCATTTGTTCTTATTGATCCAGCATCACATGGGCTTTCCATGAATGTTAAATGTATCTATATATTATATATAATTCTGGTGGCCTGATCTTTGTGTCACTTTTTAAAAGAAACCACACTCCCCTCAGACCTCAAAATTAAAATGAAAGTTGTGTTCAGTATTCGTAAGAAAATAACGGTGCCCAATTTTCGTGATTTTGAACTTAAAAATGTTGTGAGCATACATCGCGAGCGATCAGGCATAGCTCAGAGCAAGAGTGAGATGCTAGAACTGTAAAAAGGGAGTGACGCTATAATTCACGCTATTTCGGTCATTGTTGGTCTCAGCTTCTCTAACTCAGGAATAAAAGAGCTTTCAGGGGAGCCCATTCTCGATACTAAATTGCATTTACCGGTTGAGAAGGAAACGAAACAAAATAGTGATATTGCCGGGCGTACTCTGTACATCTACAGCACATAGGAGGGCCCGATTTATGGACGTATATGTAAGCCGAGCAGTAGTGAAGTGGTAAAATACTCCAGAATTTAGTCATTGGTTTCCTATTTCTTTTTTTTAGAGATGTGTTGTCTCTTGGTAAACACGTCCATGGACAAAATGCGAACAGTATTGCATACAGGCGTAAGCTATTTTTGGCGGCCTTTGAGATACTGCCTGCGAAAAGCAAATGGGAATCCCCAAAGTGTATCTGACTTGTGCTGACACTTTGTCTATTATCTATTTGTGGTGGCCGAATTTTGCTATTCAAAAGGGTTTTTAATGGCTGCATCGATCGACATGCGGTTTTCGCCTAAAGATTCTTTAAAATATTTGCCAGATCATGACGCCCTTCGTTTTTTCAGTTTTGAGACAGTTTTGCTGCAAAAAGCTAAATTTCTTTATTTCGCCGATCGCTTTTGTAAGCCAACGCTTCTGAATCTGTAATTTTAGAAAATCTGATGCGGAAATGATATTATTTTGCGAGGCGTATTTTGTTTTGAGGCTATAGATCTAGACCTTCTCATTTTTTGCATCTGAATCTCTTAAGATTTATTGCTCCATTCCAGTAGAGTGTAAATATGGTAGACCAACGACTTTCAGGTGATGTTAATGCACCGATCATTCCCTTCATCGAAAGGGGGCCCATCTAGTATATATATATATGTACGAGACACTTTTTCTTCAAGGAATTACACGTCCAGTATTTTGTGTGGTGAGACTTTAAATACACAATATTTTGGTGTTTTTTCAAGTAAGGCAGCCTCGAACTGTTTCAAAAGCTTATCGTATGAACAAGACACTTTTTAGACGAATGAGTAGAATGGCGAAGACTTTGTGTGTGCATGTTAGTAGGGGTGGGGCAGAATTGAGCCATTGCTATCAAATTCCATTTAAAAAAATGTGAGTGTCTGCTCTTTAGCATTGGTTCAAAGCTGCACAGATAAATGCATGTCAAGTATGTGATAGTGGCACCACGTTTAGGGGGTGGTCAGTGGTCCTTTAGCAACACATGATAACCGTAGATTTAAAAAAACAGTGGCTGCATAGTAGCAACCAGCAATGATGTGTGTTGTATTTACTCATGCATTTATGTATTAATGATTTTGCGAATTTATTGTCACCATTGTAAAAAAAAATTCCCCAGGGAATCAATGTAAGAGTGCAATTTATTTTTATTTTTATTTCTGTTAAACCGACATATCTCATAGAAGTGACAGCAAATCTGTCATCAATTAGTCACGACTGTAGTGGTGGTCGAAAGCAGTCCATGATGAGCTAAGCCTTACCTCTAGGTTGTCTTGCTAAAGGCACGCGGGCAGCTCGTGTATGCAGGGTTTTTTTTTTATGCTGCCTTGGCACCTAAAACAATTTATTAGTACTGGTAGTTTGGCAAAATGTAAACAAAACCTTTACTCTTTCACAGATTGATTCATCACCGTATGGATCTTCCTATCACCTGTCTCCACCACCAGACACCAGTTGGCGTAGGTGAGTTGATGGAGGTTTGCCACACCCGATCAGGTCGTGCTTGCCTTAAATTTCTATCATGGTATATATTCATTATGCATTTTGTTATCTCAGCATCGTGAAGCTTTTACCTTGCTTTTGTATTTTGAAAAAAAAATGTTCCCCCCTTTTTTTTTCTTCTTTTGAAAGTTGGGTTTATAAATGCTGAGAAAGAGTTCCACTTTTGAATGTCTTTCATGGTGTCATCAGGAAATATGGTCTTTTCATTTCATGTTAAGTAGATTTTTTTTAAAGTCTTCGCTTTCACAACATTGTATTTGTTTATCTTTTGTAGCTTACACCCTGCTGCTTTTTGTGTGCCACTTAATTTGTTATTTTTGCTAAGTGATTGAAAATTAGCACATACAGCTCAAGAGTAGGAAGAATTGAACGAATATTCACAAGAACGTGGAAAGACAGTTGTGTGCGGGATTGTTGGGTGCAGTTCATGTTTGTAAGTTAAGAGTTTTTGGGCTCTCTTTGTCTTTTTTTGCTTTATGATGTCCTCCTCCGTTCATTATTTATTCTACACTTAGCCAACCTTTGCATGTTTTTTACAAATTGTTACTCTCTCAAGAAAAATGCTTGTGACAGTGATGAAAAGCTTCTGTTTGTTCCTCCCTCTGCTGCAATTGCTTATCTTTGCCTTTTTACACATTGTTGATTCGTCTTGCTTTGTTTCACTTCCCATTGGGTCATACATTCTGTTTAGGTACATTGCTTGACTCCATGCTGAAGCACAGGCACTTGTCTTTGTAATGACAGTTTATGTACTCTTTTGTTTGATGATTTCAATACCTCTATGCTAGTGCTGTGAGTGGTGATGAGATGTTCTTTTTATAAAGCTCAATGGCAGTGTTATGCATGCTTTTGAAATGTACTTGGAAAACATTATAGTGTGTATTCATTGGCAATGGAATAGACTTCAATGGGTGTTGGATCTTTTTGTTAAAATATAATTTTTAAAGGTAGGACTGACAGTTGACTATTATAATCTGTTTAGAAAATAATGTATAAATATTTAATATTGGACTGTGCTGGAAATAAAAGTATAAAACGTTTTGAGTTTTGACCGAATGGAATATTGAGTTGATAAGAATAGGTCCACATTTTATAAATGTAAGCTCTTGAATTTCTAGGACCTCAATTTTTTTCCCATAGAAATTCTAGGATATCAAAAGTTCACATTGTAAAAGAAAATCATAGAATTGGTCGTACTTTAGTTTACAGGATGCAATATCATGCTCTCGAGTTATACTTTACTTTCAAACTGCCAGTGGTTTTAATGTTTCTCCAATTATATCATGACTCCAATAACTCTCATTGTAGAAATCACCAGTGTGATAAACAAGTCATGGGCTGCTTTTTAGAAGAAATAAAGGGTAAAAATTCTGTCAATAGGCCTCAACAAATGTGAAGGCCATGTGGTAGGCGTTTGATGTGGCCAAATCGAAGTGGACCCTTTGCGCTTGAATGTGGCTACTGTCTTTATCTTGCATTTGTTGACTTGATAACAGTATGTTTTGTTTTTGTTGAATTCAGAGGTGAATTGGCTAGTGAAAGTGTACAGTTAAAACTTTTTCTCCTAGCTTGGAATCTTTTGTAACTGGTGCTAATGGTATTGTTTATCATTTTGTGTTCAGAAAAGTCTTGTGTTCATAGTTTGCTGTAATATGTGGCAGTGAACATTTGTTATAAAACTCCTTCATACAGAAAATTAAGCGGATGATTTGCTTATTTCAAAGGCTCGTTGCACATCATATCATGACTTTTTCTGCATCGGAAAACTATATACTCACCGCTCCCATAGAATACTGCTGTAATGGAATACTTATACCTTTAGGGTGTTTTGTAAAAATAAAAGGGGCAGGTGTGTATTGATAATTGCTTTCTATTTTTTTTTTATGACAGGGAGGAGGAGAATGGAAGAAAGTGTTTTGTAATAGATTAGCAAATTAATTTTCACTCTACCTTGAACTGAACTGTAACATTAACACTGGTGAATGTACCCAGACGTATATCAAGTAGTCCTTCCACTACTACTAGTAATTGTATGTACAAATTATTGCGTGCCATTGTTATTAAGAATAGTTTTGTTCATGTGAGGATGTCCGATTTGTGTTCATACTTTTAAAATTTGAAAAACCCCAAACACTTGGTATTTTTTGTGAGAGATGTACAAGTGTTTGTTTTTAGATAGGGTAGGTTTGATACTAATTATGAAGAGGTCTCAGGTAGAGGTTCTTGTACCCTTTGTGGGCAGTACCGTTCATTTTTTATCAACTTAACATGCTTGGATTTAATTATTTTATGAAAGAAACAGTGCTTGATATTTTTTTTTGTTCCCTCCTGGTTTAGGGAATTTGGAATTAATTTTTGTCTATGGTTGATTATAATTTCTTAACTTAAATGATTAGTATGTCTTGATACGGTAAAACAGTATTTGCTAACCTGAGCGATATTGTCCACAAGCACGTTATTTGGCTGGGTAGTGGGGATCACCCGAGTAGTCCTAGATATTACGTAATGCCCTACTTGGTAATACATGTAGGAAGGGGGTACAAAAATTCTAGACTTTAAAAGGTTGCAAAAGTGAGCCCTTACTCTAAAAATGTTGACAGGCACAGTGTTAAAGTATACTTTTTCTCTAGTGAATTTGATCAGATAAAGTGTCAAGGAAATGGCTAGATGCTGAGGTTCTTAACCCTTTGAGCCCTAACCACCGGTACACTGGTGGGGTGGAGCACAAAACTGCCCGTATGCCCTGTCCCAAACCTGGCCTTGTTGGGAAAAAGGACGCATAGGAAAATGTTTTTACTACACCGGACATTATTGAGTATTTTGAAGATCTTTCTGAATTAGATGCTGGTAATAGCGAAGACTTCCCTAAGTGGGTTATGGAATGTGATTCTGACAATCATATGAATGTTAGTAATATATTGCCATGGAGCTCAGGTGCATGGGCATGGTAGCCTCAAGAGGTCGGAATGAGAGGGTTAAATGACAGAGATGTCGAGAAGTATCTTTTCTAATGAGGTTTGTTTATCACATATATGATAGTGATATTTTATTTTCAATTCTGCTTTATGCTATTCATTTAAGGACACAGAAACTGACATATTTAACATTGTGATAGAAATGATGAAAGTGAAATTATTCAGATTTGTTGGTAATTGTGTTTTTTAGTTCCATTATTGGCTAGGGATATAGAACACTTCCTGAAGGGGCCAATGTTAGTAGGAAATAATGTTGAGTCCTTAAAGTCGAGAAATCTCTATAATTCATGTTACCTTTGACCCTCTCTACTATCTAGCATGTTCATATTTTCACTTGTAGCTTGTCCTGGTGGAAAGGACTATTTGGCTGTTTGACCTACATAAGTCAATGGTAGTGAAAGTCTTGTCTGGTTGCAAGATTGGCTTACATGTTTCAGTGCATGATTATAAGTAAGATTTGTATTTGTATTGTGCATCATATGATAAACGTATCATCTATTCCACCCAGACACTCATTACCTTTCTTAAAATATATGTTTGTCTTCACATGGACATTCACAAAAGGAGATTTGGTTTGAACAAAAGCTAAAATTAAAATTGTAACTGTTTTTAGCAGTAAATGTCTTTCCCAGAGAACAATGCAATATTTTTGTGTCAAGTGCATTTGTTGACAAAGCCTTTTTTTGTGAAAAATTATGGTAAATTTCTGAGATACGAATTTCTTCAGCTCTCTGAACCAGCAATCTGTCCTTGAAAGGGTTAGAAAAATAGGGTTTTCATCCTCCCTTAGTGAATGCCTTTTTATATTGTCTAACAGTATACAGAGAAGGTTGAAGTGGTTGCATTTTACCTCTCATTAATGGTGCCTTTCAGAGAAGCCACTGCATGGAATTCCATGGTACACAAATCAAGAGGAGTTTATTTCCTCATAGGGGGCCATTAAATAACAGTCTGTGAACTTTTCAATACACATTTATCCTGTTATCAGTGTACAAAATTGAAATAGAATTATTTCCCTTTTATGCAGATTTGTCCATTGTAAATGATTAGTTACAGAGTAAAACGGTTGATAAAAACCGGTCTGTTCCTTCAGTCACATAGTTTATGATATATGAAGCATTTTGTCCTGTTGGAGTTAATATTGTGTTTGAGTAGTCAATTGATTTCCTGTGTTCTTGGACTTTTTACTGGCTGTTTCGTCAAACTCCCACAGTTGTTTTATTGCAAAGCAAGACTGTTGTGTACGTTCACAACTTTATGCAGGGTTTTCATTGGGATTTCTTTATTGAGTGGGTATTTTTACTTGTTGCTTCATATAATCAAAATTGTACAAGACGACCACTCATTGTTGAGGAGAAAAGTGGTTGTCTTAGACAAGTGAATGTCTTAGACAGTGTCATATAATAATATACAGAATAAACTCCTGGGACAAAGTGGGCAGTGGGCATTTGTTCAGGTGATTGTTTTGGACATGTCAGGTGGCCATTAGAGCAGGTTCGACTGTATTTGAACGTCTGTGTACTGTAAGCACGACAAGGGACATTTAGAGAAACAATTATAAGGCTTTATCTTGGTGGGTGTTTTCAACTGCTGTTGAGTTTTTTATTTATTGGACTACAGATTTTGTTTAACTTAACATCTGCACAGGGCTTGCCTAAGAAAGATCCCTCATTTTTTTTTCACTTTGATCATAAGATTGTGAAAACAGAAAGTTAAAGAACTTGCAGTTTAAAAGTGGTCAGCTAGATTTTGAATGGTTACGAAGATGTCTAAAATATTTGAAAAAGTTTTTTCCCTCATATCTTGAAGAGGCTTTAAAAACGAATAAGCTTTTTCATTTTTAGGTGGGAATTTTCTGACAAGATTCTTTTGCTGAGCTGAAGATAACGAAAAGTTTTGAACTTTTTTGTTATTACAAATTCATTTTAAGAACAGTTAATGAAAGTTTTGACCAATATTTCTAAGAGTATGGTTCCTTATTTTTCAAACTCAGTGAGAGAGCAGATGGTCTGTGTGGCATATATATATATATGATGGGGTTTTTTTTCTTTATTTTCCGGAGAGGACAGATTTTTTTCCAATTTGATGTATTTGTGCAGGTCTTCTTTAGAATGGCTTTAAAGTGATGTTTTCTGTGGATACTGTTCTTTATATTTTACTGGCGCTTTTTTGGGGCTTTATATAAGCAACTTCATTCTTTATTGTGATGTTGTCTTCATATTCGTTATCGTTTCCTCAAAATGACATGAAATACCCAACAACCTATTAGATAGCTCTGTGTGTTCAATTTTCTGCAATTGTAGCACTTTGGAGGTATGATTATATCTGGGATGTGCTGATCATGAAATGTATGGTTGGCTCTATGGGGTTATGCATAGAAGGAAATTTTGCAGCATCTGTTTTCAGTATTATTATTTGCAAAGACGCTACTTCGCCCACAGACAGAAAGACCAATAAACAAATAGTAATAATATGGAATGAAATATACTCGTTTAAAATAAATTTTATCCTAAAACTATCTTCTAAGTTGTATTCAAATACATAAGGTCAAGAGCAAAAGTTATTTTAATGTTGGTTATGATGATAAGACTCATACTTTTTGTAAAGTTGGAAAAGAAATCTATGCATGAAGACACATACTTAGAAGCTGAAACTTGTGATTATACGAACACTTTGTATACCCAATTCAGGGATGTTCTTTGAGGAAAATTTGTCTGATCTGTGTACAGTGTGAATGGTGCTCTAAAATGGCGCATTTTCTTACACCAAAACTCGAATCATCTCTGGGGCTTCAGGATTCAATGGGATTTGTCATCTCTGAATAACCTTTTAGAAATAGCTGTGATGTGATGGATGTTATGTGTGCATATGACTTGTAGTACAGACTTGCAGCCTGCCTAAGGGTATATCTACTACTAATATTATGTACAGTATTATTTTTACCTCTTCAAGGTTAGTTTTGTCTCGTAATTTGACGTAGTTTAGTTGTGTGTTAAATTACTCAATGTTGTGTAAACTGAAAATATGTCCATTTTTTTGTTCTCTAAATGATTGTTGTGAGAGCTTTCTATATGATAAATCAATATCAGTGTTAGAAAACAGATTGTTTTTACTATAAATTGAACATTATCAAGTATACTCTTAATATTTTTTCAACGCTGTTGTTTTCTATGCACAGATTTTGCCTTGCTTAATGCTTACAGTTTTGTTTTAACCGTTTTAAAATGTTATTTTCTTTAATTTTCCCAACTCTTTCTTTGTGTTCAGATTTTATTTGACCACAGTTTGGTTTACCCTTTTTTTTCCTTCTTGCAATTTTGATTGATTTCCTTTGCCAGTTATGGGCTCCCCAAGATGAACCGCTATCTGTATAGTGGCGTTTCCTTGTCTCGGTGAGTGTCTTTCCCCTTTCCCCTCCCCTGATTTCCTCTCTTACCCTCAAACCTTTGTGTTTGACCCTTTGCACTCACTTGCCAAACTGTTTCTTAAGGTGTGGTTGTGGGCGCTATTATGCATTTTAGCTATTTCCAGGCTTAATGGTCATTCTCCCTCAAGGTGGGAGAGGAAGCATGGGGGTTGGGTTCTTGTTTGTGGGTGGATTGCAGCGTGGTTATGTGACTCATTGTGACCGGGGCAGCGTGATTAGAGTTGTTTGATTAGTGCCAGTTCCAAATGGCATGTGATCGTGTACTTCTACGTTGATTTTATGTCGTGTATGCTCTTGCTTCATGTGCTCTTTGTGTTTGAACTATGTTGTCTTGTCCTTGAAAGGGTACCAATGCTTTTGTTGTTTACCTTGTAGACTTTTGTACTGTGTTACGCCGTGCTTCATGGTCTTATGGGTCAGATGTTTTTGGCTCATCGAGTGTTTATATTGTCTTGTTGTCAGTTTGAGCTTTATTCGACTGTTTCAAGACTTGTAACAGTTTAAGTAAATGAACAATGTGACTCTTGGAACATGGAGGGAGGGAATTTGTAGAGTGAGACTTGTCAGAACTTCATGTTTCTTAAGTTTTTGCATAGGCAGTTGAGATGTTTCCTCAAGTTTTCTTATAGTAAAGGGGACTTAGTTTTGAAGGTAACTAACTTCAGAACATTCTGCCTTTTAGTAATCAGGATAGAAACTGCTCAAAAGTCAACCCTCACCCATCCAAAGCTTGTCTGATAAATGGATGGCGACCAGGTACCCATTTCTGTGTACTTGTGACTTTTGATTTTTCCATCCTACTATTAACCTACTCTAAGACAATTCCATTCCAATCATTTCCAGAATTTTTATTAATTAGAAAAATTATTTTATCTAAAGTGCAGGAACCCAAAATGATTTTTCGACTAATAGTTTCCAAATCATAATTTCGGTGCTTGAGTAGATGTGTTGGGAAACTTTCTAGGGAGGGGTGGAGCATAGAGAAATGAAGATCTGATGGTCCTCCGGAATCATTTCATTACTGTGATGGAGATGGGAGGAATCCATAGATTTATTCTAAGAAATACAAATGGGCATCTTTTTGTCACTCGTCAACTTTCATTGCAGAGGACACACATAGGATTGATACAATGTCGTGTGAAAAGTATCCCTGTTTGGTATTGTTATTGATTTCAATGAGGAGTTTGGACGTAGAATCAAGTTCATGTACTGGCAATACTGGCAACATAATTGTGAAGTATCTATGCTGTGGTGATGGTCTTCGCTTCCCAGCATTGCTTTTTTTGTTACTCTTTAATTGTGAATTTTGTATTTGATCTGTAAAGTTGCAGTGAACTTATTATACTTGTCAGTCATGCCTGTCCATGACTGAAGTATTGTCTAAGTGAAGTTACTTTAAAAATGTTTAGTGACAACTTTTCTGATGTGCATTTCCTTTCTGCGCCTTTTTTTTTTTAAGTCTGCAATTATATTGCAGAAACACTCTGTCTTTTCCGTAATGAATGGTCTTTGCGTGTCAAGTGCCCTATGTTTCACTTTGCATAGGGTTAATTTTTGTAGCCATGCTACTCTCCCATTGCTTTTTCTTGTTCTTTCATGTAACTGATGCATATAAGCTTCACAGGTCCCTGAACCTATTTGGTCACTGAACACATTTTAAAAAAACCAACTATTGTGTGTTCAGTTGACACCAGATTTCTACTTAATTATTAAGGACTAGCAATGACTGGTGGAGGTTAGGATTGTCATGTTGTTTTGGCATGACAGGGTTGGTATCGGAGTTTGTTGAACTTCATTGATCTTCTAATCGTTTTAAGGAAAGGGCCTTTGCTGCACCCTGGGGGTATATTTTGAGGATGAGTACACTGCATTGAAAAAACATTTCAGACTTTTAAAGAGAAGTATGAGTTTAAAATCAGAGTATTTAGTGGAAATAATGTTATTCTGAATTTGTCTAATGGCTGCGTAATCTTGTTTATAAGCATTATCTTGATAGAAAACTGAAAGAGCATTTTGTAAAATATGTATGTCGATTTTCTCACTCGGTTTAAATGAGTGTGGCTCTAAGAAAACCAAATAGAAGGTGCAGATGGGATTTGTGAGATTCCTTTAAAAGTAGAAAGGGATTCCATCTCTATTTGAAAGTAGGTTTTATGAAAGATGGAAAAATAGCCCTCTTCTTAGATTTTGATTTTTAAGGATTTTGTTTAAATGTTGTTCTATTATTTTTTAAAAACCCCTTGACTGCTAACCATAAGTCCACCGTGTGTGCTAAGAAAATTTCCACAGTGGCTGTGTATGACATGGTCTGCTTTTTTAATGGCAATAGCTCGCTTACTATAAGCACTAGATACAGCAAAGTATATGTCAAATAAAAGAGAAATTAACGTGCAATCCACTGGTGTTACTCATTTTTAGGTATAAGTATTCTGGAGAAGAATCTGGCAGGTGAATGTGAGATTTAAAAAAATTCCATCTCCGTATTCGAGATCTCAGTCGGGTCTCGGATATTAGATTTATGACAAAAACCTCCTTTAGATGAATTGAAATGTGCATAGTCATTGTCAGTATCTCGATAAATTTCTGCAATAACCTGATCCATAGACCTAGTCAACTTTTGCGAAGCCATCGTGGCGAATGTAGACTGCACGCCAAAACTTCAGAGAGACAGACTGACTTAGTTATTTAAGCACAACACACAACACACAACACACCATGTCTCTTTGTTTCAGCTACTACATTCGAATCTCTGGACTAATAGCCAAAAAATAGGCATGATCACATCGTCAAGTGGAGAGAATACAGGGATGTAACTCTTGTTACTCAAAACTGTGTGGAAGTGAAGATGTGCATAAAACAAAACAGGGGGTTTTCAGGCGTACCAGGCGTACCATGTATGCCTACAGTGCACACGGGACTGAATTGTTACGGCGTACCAGGTACGCCCACAGAGCAGGCAAGGGGTTAAAGAGATTATTTCGGTGACATACGGTGGCCAACATTCTAAAATCTAAAAAATTTTTACTCATTACTTTAGAGACTTATTTTCACATACACCCCCTACCAATGTAAAGGAAATTTATTGCTTTTCCAGTGAAATCTAGTGGGCATGGATATTTTAGCAGCAGCAAAGGACAACAACTGTGCAACGTTTGTTTCACTCGTCATAAAAAATTTTGAAAGCTATTTTCTCAAAGCTTATCCTTTGGACCCCTTCCCTTTAAAGTGCTATAACTTTTTACAAAATGCTTTAGTTGCAGGGAAATGGATGCCGAAAGGCTACAGTAAGATGAACTCTCTGAAATGTGGAAAAACGGTCTGTTTTGAAACCGTTCACCTTTCAACAGGTTTTTAAAAATCATGTTCCATTGGTAATGAAGTTCATTTTGGGTGTTGAGTATCATGTTTTAAACTCTGGCGTTTTGTTTGGTGACAGAGACAACCTCTGAGAGCTTGAGACGTAAAAGATGCCTTTCATTGTGCTTCAGCGTATCCTATGTTATTTTATGGAGCGTCAGGTTTGGTGGGAAGCTTCTAACCTACTTGTTTGTGTGTAGTGTTGAAATTGTTTTCTTTATTGTTCCAGGGTGCACTCTGACCCCTCCCTGCACATGAATGCAATGGGCGGAAATACAGCAAATAAAAATTATACGCATCCCCCCGTGACACCACCGTCCCATCGCCGTAGTAAGTACCACTGTGATGTGTTATATTTATGTGTTGGGAAAGAACATATCGTCGCTGTTGCAAGCAATTCTCTTTAGTTCAAAATTTGAGAATTTTTAGATTTTTACATACACCTTTCCAAAGCTTATCAAAGATGCGACTTTCAATGTCGCATACGTTAACTCGGGTAATGATTTCCTTTCTTTCAGGATTTGGTTTGTATCATCTGACTTTTTGTGTATCAGTGACGTTTACTTGATTCCTGTTTTCCTCCTTGTGCTCCACGGGAATTAATTACCTATATTTTACTGAGGGTCTGACTTATGGAGATTTGTAATAGCCGGAATCTGAGGCTGTCTCAAAGCGAGGCAATGTGCTTGGCTTTGTGATGGTTCCTGATGCTGTCTGGATAATATTTGGATTAGTTTTTTGTCGTATGTTTCAATTTCAAAGGGGGCATTCAAAGGGCTGTTGGCATGCTCTTCAGCCAGTCGTGACTTTGAACCATAAGCAGTGATTCATTTGTGTTTGTCCTTACAGTTGTAGAGATGGTTGGAGAGAATGCAGGGGACAGCCTCCAGTTAAATTTCTGGGATTCTAAGAAAATGGGACCATCGAGGCCAAAGTCTTGTGAGGTTCCCAATATCAAGTAAGTGACAATAAGTTATACAATGTGTGAAAAATATATTGATGTGCAACACAACTGTTTAACTCATTTTCGCCCATTAACGATACATCAGCACAGGCTCTATACTCATACTTTATTTAGTTCATAAATGCTTGATCCATAATTTTAAGTTTTGATATAAACAAATTTCAAAAGTAGAAACTTCCTGCAACAAAATATAGTGTCTATAACTACGTAAGTGGGTGGAAAGTTGAAATTGTTGAAATATTTTGTGTGGTGTGTTTGTGAAACCAAAAAATGAAAGATGATCACTCCTATTTCTAGTTCAAGCTATTTTTTCTGGGCCTGGTAGTAAACGACCCTATGGGTATATAACTTGTAAAACAGACTAGGGAATTTTTATTTAGTCAGCTTGAGGACAGAGATGATATTGTCTTAGAATCCTTAGCTTTAGATTCTAATTTGGGTGATTATTGAATCGAGAATGCGAAGCGCGAAAGACATGATTCAACAATGACAGCAAAGAGGATAGTTGGAGATAGGGAAGTGAGTGAATATGTTTGGAAATGAAAGGGAAAGAAAGCCAAGAGAAGTGAAAATCAAGAGGATAATGATCTAGATCTAGGTCTAAATCTAAATCTAGACTTGGACAAGCAAGTGCAACTTGGGCAAATTCTGATTCATTGCAACTTTTGGTATTGTCACAGTGATGTTACAAAATTGATAATAAAATCTGCTAGAATTGCACAATGTCATACCTTTTTGCATGATTATGCAGGGAATTGAATGTAACATTCATTTTATAAGCGTAGGAATCTTTTTTTGAAATACAAATTTTATTATTGATATTTAAAGTCGAAAATTTAGTCTGTCTTTTTATTAGCTCCCATGTCCTTCCCAACATACATACTTATCATTCACGATCGGATGCACAGAGAAAATTGGTGAAAGCTGGTATAAAAATGGGCAGGGAATGAGTTAATAAATGTGGGGTGATGAGAGGGGGGTGTTTGTCTTTGTCATCAAATGTTATTCTTAATTCATGACGGACCAATTTTTATTTAGTTTCCTAAAAGGTAGATCTCATAATGTACTTAAAAGATTTGACAATATGTGCACAAACCGTACTAGGAACAGATTGAGCTCCTTGTAATTCCTTGCATTGTTTGGACTTTCATGGGTCTTGAGCTGTGTTCAAAGTCCACTAAAATGTTCACAGACTATTTTCTTCTTTAAATTGGTCTCAATTTTTTGGGGGGTCCTGAGGAAGTTGAGTACCTCTGTGTATGACTTATTTAAGTGTACCTGAACGATCAGGATACATTTTTACCAAGGTACGTCGTCAGCTCGCATGTTTAGTTAAATATGATTGAAATCTTTGTTTTCAAAAGTTGTTTACTTACAAGTATGTCTACTCACATGTTGGCTGTGTTGTTTTCCAGCATTTACCCCAGCCAGGAGCAGGAGGGCAGCAGCTCACAAGGGGGTGGTGCCATCATCCCGATGACGGCCAACAATACAGGCTCCCTGCCTGACCTGTCTGTGCTGCAGTTTCCCTCCCCACTGGTCACACCCCTGGACCAGGAGGACCCCTACAATACGGCCAATGCTGTGGCTGGCGTGGCCAATCAGGGCAACAGCCCTGTGAGTCTAAGCCCCACCAGTCCGCGACATATGCCAGGCATGGCCCACTCGAGCCCGCAGAGCCCTAATCAGCGCCGCCGCCAGCCAGGAGGCATGGCTCTTCCCAGCCCGCTGGTGTTGAATCAGATGGGAGGCCCACCCTCGCCCGTGAGTACACCCTTATATTGCCATCTTCCTTTTGATTCTCATTCTTGTTGTTTTTATTGTTGTCCTGCTTGAATACGTGGAAATTGTTCAGGGATTTATATTGCCAGTTTACAAGACATGGGAAGTTTCTTGTTTTATAATGCTTTTGCCAATAGCATTGGTATTTTTTGTAATGTGCAGGGTATCAATTCAATTTAAAAGGGGCCATTCAGATTATTGTAAGCGCGATTTATTTTGACTGATTGTTGAAGAAGAGTAAACTGTAAATGTTGCAATGTCAAGCATTCTGAATAGGTTTTGTTGCTTATATAGGGCAATCTGATTTGAGAAGTGAGGAGTGAAGGGCTGTTTATGTGCAGTAGGTTTTGTTTTTATTCACATTTGTTCGAGTATTGCTTTTTTTTTTTTCATTCAAGTAGTGATCACTACACCATTTTTTCCAGTTGCAATTTTTGTGTGATTTAGTATTACGTAGCTTAATGTTAAGTTACCGAAACATTTCCTTTCACAATTATGAGTTCGTACATGTACACAAATATTCCTTTAGATATTGAAATTTGATGAAACAACTATTGTGACATATATTTTCATACTTCTAAGTAAATTTAATCATTACTATATTGCAAACAGAATGTTGATAATAATTTTTGTTTCAACATGGGAGAGTTTTGAGGATCTTATTAGATTTGAAACTAAAGTGCTGTCTAAATTTGTCACAGCAGTTAGATGTGTTAGAAAAGTTTTATCTTATGTACCTAATTAGCTTTATGCTCTGCCTCATATTTTTGAAGAAATTTTCTTGAGAGATATTGAACAGCAAAACAAGAATTTAAAACCAACCTGGATGGAGAATCACCATCTGTTATTTGTTTCAGTTGTTGCTTTACTGCTTTGTAGTGTAGATATAGATTTAAATGTTGCTACCCCCCCCCCCCCCTCCTTATTCATGATATGCATTTTATGATTTTGGGGGGGGGGGGATTTGTCTCCCAGGAAATGTATATATTTTTTTTTTCGCCGAGAGATTGTTTTATGGTCAAAGTTGCGAAATCTGTGGATGTTGAAAGTTGTTCAGTGACCTGTTGTATGCACCACACATTGTTCTTTTTGATGTCCTATTGTCCTTGGCTGTAGAGAGTGTGTTAAGTAGTTACGCTTAAGTGGACCAGCTTGTTTAGGCCATCACAGATTTTTACCCTTGGCCAGACTGCAAAATGTTCCTTTCTGTGATATGAAGATCAGTTGGATTAGCTGTATCTAACTGTTATGCTTTAAATAAAGATGTGGAACTTCTACTTTTAGTAGTAATACGATAATAGACATCATCGTCTTCAGTGTTGAATGGGCAGTTACATGTAGATCAGTTTGGTATGTTTGGTTTCAGTTAATTTTTTTTTAACCATTGATTGTGCACATCATTTTAAAAATATTTTTTTAAGAAGGCTTTTGGCTCATTTGTTTACTTGCAAGCATCAACAGATTTTTAGTTTTTTAGTAGAGGTTTTAAGGCACTCGCAACTACATACGATCATATGAGTGCCAGAAGATTAGAGGTGTTACAAGAGAGTAATAAACATAAAGAAGTAGGGGAGATAAGGAAGATAGATGTTTGATGGGAAAGAAGAAGCAAACCACACCAGAACACCCGCCAACCACCCACTTCAACAGGTTTTCTGTAACAAATAATCACTGCATTAAAACAGGAAATGAAAAATCTCTTCTGCAGCAAAATTATTTTTTGTTTACCCTCTTACAACTGCAGTGACATAAAATAAATTAATATTGAGCCATTTTATTAACTTTGACTGACTCTTTAACTAACGTTGCTTCTGAAAATGTGTAGGATATATGTGTGATTCTGAGAAAACCTTTGAGAAAGTGCAAAAAGCTGTTTTGTGATATCATAAAAAATAGGTAGGACTGATTTTTTAAATGAAAATGAGAAAGATGAAAACCTTTCTAAATTTGAATTTGAAAGAATTTTGCTGAAATTAACATTTAGTTGAAGACTTATGAGGGCTGCCTATTTCTACAGATTTTTCCAGTAGTTACTGATTTTGGACCTGTTCTCCCGCCATACCGATAAAGGTATCAAAACTTCTGGATTTGCGATGGGCACTGAAAGTAAAAGAAAAATAAAATGGCTCGTTCTGTAGTGCTTCCAATTTTCCTTATTTACGGAAATCTGTACATTCTGAATGTTACTCACCTGACACATCATCGTATCAACTTCATCAGTTGAAATAAAAGAGAGAGAGAGAATCAAAGGATCCGTACTTGCTTCCGTAACTTCTCAGATATTTATGGTTACCCTCGGCAATGAGTTAATAGAAACCTGACAGGGTGTGCATTAGGTACACTCTACCGTTGTCCGGCTAGGCCTGTGCATCTGTTGCGAGTTGTTGGCAATACATTTTCACATGCAAATCGGCTAAAATCTGACTAGATACACAGCTAATCTTTTCTCTGCATTTCATTCACTTATTCTTTTTGTCTATCTTCGGGATTTTGCTGCGGCTGGAAAATCTGTGCCTTGATTTTTTTTTTAATGGTTTGGGAATGTAGAATGAAAATTAAAATCAGAAAGAAACTTTTTCAAATCTGTCTAGATTTTGAGAAATTATCAGTATGGGGATTCTACAGCAGCAGGATAAGGCCACGGTGCAAGAAATTCATGCTAAAATATAAAAAACAAAGGAAATATGGAAGTGGTGCTCTGAGGTGATATTTGACAATCGAACTTGTAAATGGGGGAAAATTAGAATACAGGCTCCGTGATTGTGTTGTCAAGACTTATATATGCCTGCTGTCAGTGGTGTGCTGACAAATTGAATAGTGACAATGGAAAAAGGACATTTTTCTACCCTCGAAAAGTAGTAAATTAAAATTTCTTCTGGGGCTTTTCTCCCAGAACCCTCACTGGACCTTGCTGGGGGGCCTGTGATTGAGATTGAGAGAAAAAAAATCAATCTTTTTTTAGGTGGACAAAAACTGCTTAACGGGATACCAGAGGATAAGATCTGGAAACCAAGTTCTATGATTAGAGCGCTGTGCGTGCAGCAGGGTGCCTCTTTGTATGATGTCTTGTGTGTAGGCTATACGCAATGATAGCTACCCCCCAGGGTGGTACTACTGACTGAAGTGTCTTAAGGTCATTCCCAAAGGGGGGACATTAAACATGTTCTTATGCACAGTAGAATTGTAATTGTTAATGGGCTGATTCATCAATGTCATGCTCTGAACTGCAACTGCCTGAACTGCAACAGGGAACTGCAGCTTTTTCTTTCCTAATCCTTACAAACGCCTTTTTCATCTACTTCTTTTGTATGTTTGTCACTCTATTTACGGGGTGCCTTAATAGTCGAAGCAGACTTTGTGTTGTTGAAGCCAGAGAGGTGAGCAGAGTAAGCCTGATTCCCTGTAAGGGCTTCTCTGTTGACATCCACCCCTTGGCGCTCATATGACCTTATGCAGTTGCGAGCGCCGTAAAACCTCTACTAACACCCCCCGGGGCAGTGCCACTGACTGTAGTCTTTAGGCCATTCCCAAAGGGGGGGACATTTCTCGTTCAAGCATAGTAGAATTATAAATGGGCTGACTCATGTCACGCTCATAACTGTGCCTGATCTACAACAGGGAACTGCTGCTTTTTCTTTCCTGACCCTTACTATTGTTGTTTTCCTCTACTTCTTTTGTATGTTTGTCACTCTCTTGTGACCTGCTATTTTGGGGTGCCTTGATAGTCGAAGCAGACCATGTGCTGTTGAAGCTAGAGAGGGGAGCAGTCTAACTTAGTCTAAGTCTAATTCCCTGTAAAGACTTCTCTGTTGACACCCACCCCTTGGCGCTCATATGACCTTATGCAGTTGTGAGCGCCGTAAAACCCTCTAATATAAAAAAAAACAACCCTACTAAAACAAACAAAAACTCAATGATAGCCTTTTCACTATGAAAACACCAGTTTTTAAAATATTTTGCATTTTTTAAATCCAATAATTAATGTACGATGCAGTGACTGCCAGATTTTCCAGCATCACAACGTCCCACATTCTCATAGTCCTTCAAACTCAGTACTTGCTATCTTCCATTGTCACTTTTTAAAAATCGTTTGTGATATATGCATACAATAATATTAAATGAAAGGATATTTTTACTGCTTCTAAGGGGAAAATTCTATGTACATGATCGCATTATGTGAAGAAAAAAAAATGGATCATTTCGTTTGCTCTTTATTCAGTCCTGTCATGGAAATAAAATAATTTTCTTTAAAAAGTTTCTGATGTTCAAGAAAAATGTTTTATTTAGAGTATGCTAGCAAGTCTCTTGAAAATGTATGTGTGACATTGTGATGAAGTCAGGCGCTCGTTGTGAAATCGAGGAAACTGGCATTTTCCCATCCAGAGGACAATTTTTAAAGAATTTTTTGTTTTGGGTTCAACACTTTTTATGTCCATTTAGAAATGCATTTCTGCGTTTATTTTACTGAACAATGTTGATCAAAGGCACAAAAAAATGTAAATTTGCAGTTTCTAAAGTCACAGCAGCTTTAAAAGTTACGAAATTTCGGCAGCCATTTTCTTGCTAATTTTATGTCTGAAATCAGGTGATCCCCCACCTCCTTTAATTGCAAGTAACTCGACTTCTTTTCAAGACAATGGGTAATTTTTCATCAAAAGCAAAAGAACTGAACAAGCTTTAAGATTATACCAATAATGCGACACGTACCTGCGATAGATTTTCTCAGAATCACATTTTTTAAAAAGTCTAGTACATTCCTTAAAAAATGCTCGTGTCTTATACGGGGTGCCCACTACGGCTGGATCGGGCAGTTCCTCCGACTCGATCGCCTGAAACTGAAAACAAACACGTTTGTTTTTGAGTCGGTCGATCAACCCGATCGGCCGATCCCATCCGTAGGTGTTGGAAGTGATAGCTTGTGAATTGTTTTGTATAAAGTGAAAGAAGGTATCACATACATGCTATTGATTTGATTTTTTTTTTTTTCATGTGAAAACTACTTGATCGAAACAGGTTTAAAGTTATCAGCAGTGGCTTTGGAAGAGGGAAGCATGTGCTTTCTAGTTGACTTTTAATGAACTCATTTCTGTTAAATCCACACTTTTTCCTTAGATTTAGAATTTTTTTTTGTCATTTCTTTCTTTTTTTTTTTTCTATTTGGTTGGTTGATTTTCATCCTGATTCATTTTTGACTGTACTTTTGTTTATAGTGTTAGTGTGAGTCTTGCTGTTGTGCTTTTGTCAGCGTGTCTGTTTGTTTGGTTTTTAGGCTGGAATGGCAGATATGGACCCGTGCATGCGACAGCAGTACATGTTGTGTTTACAACAGCAGCAACAGCTACAGCAACAACAGCAGCAGCAGCAGCAAATGAGGCACCGGGGCTCCCCCCACAGCCAACCCTACCCGACTCCTGTCTCTCCCTTATACTCGCCCACGCATCGGTCGCTAAACCACCAACGGCAAGCCACTAAGCCTTCATTGCACAATCACTCGCACCACATAGGCTCTCCGACTGGTTCCCCAACACACAGCACCCCCTTGCCCCCCAATCAGCAGCCACAGCTTCACCAGGCTCAGTTCTCACCCCCCATCCAGCCACAGCAACAACAACAACAACAACAACACACAAACCCCCAACAGCATCAGCATCAGCAACAACAACAACAACAACAACACCAGCGTCAGCAATCTCCCCTGTCGCCCCCGGTGCCTCAAGTGCACATCACCAACTGTGATGACCCGAGTACGCAGGTTGGTACCTTGTGTTACATGTTACATTTCCCCCGACCAGCTTACATAGAACATTCGCGTATGAGCTTATAGTCATGCACTGCATCGATATTTTCCTTCATGTGTCACATATTGTACGATGTATTGTCTTGTATTTATTAACTCACCAGCAGTGTATATCTTATGGTTTGTTAAACCAGTTTGCAGCCCTGTCCGCTGTATATACTTTTTAAAATATGTTTTCATTTGTTCATTTTGTAGTTTTCAGTCATTTTGGGATTTCAGAAGATGACTGTGTCAACCTGCTATTTTGAGAGAAAAGTTAAGATTAATTATGATTATATTGAGGTCATGAGAAGGGAGCTGGTTCAAATAGTCCTAGGGAAATGATGTTTTATTCATATTTGCCTTTACAAGTACGTATCTTATAGACATGAGATTTGGGTTTAAATACTGTATTTGAAAGGGATATGTATAAGTAGATGAGTAATAATAAAATTGTCTTTCGCGTTCAGGTTTTTCTTTGTCCACCTTTCAAGGAAGTCACTTTTTATAGAACTTTCTTAGGTTTTTAAAATGTGGTTGAGAATGTGTGTAACACTGGTGCATGTTAAAATAATGGGAATAATATTAATATAATCTTTTAGCTTTACTATGTTGATCCATTTATATGAATTTGTTGAATCTTCTGAAGACAATGTTAACACAGTGTCTTGTGTTATATAATGTTAGTAGGCTGTACACCTGGTGTCCATGCTCTTGTCTGTGCCAGTGTTGAGTATGAAGTCCTTGTGTGCTTGACATTGTAATCCCACCAAGCATGATGTGACGCGGCAGGCTTCAGTGTAGCACGGCTTCTCCTGATGTGTGTGTACTGTACCCGCTGCTTGGCCATCCTTTGGCAGTGGGCACCTGACTAGTCGGTAGTCACCTTGTCGTCCCTTTACCTGAATTCTGTTGACTAATTCTTCAGTTACTGCCAACTGTTCTAGGTGGTCCCTCATACTGTATTATAGTGGTGCAGCTCCTCTGGGTATATTGGTTGGTCACTGGTT